GGGGGGGGGGGGGGGGGAGAAAATGAGGGAGAGATGGACAGCGCGGCGTTATCGAGATGGACCAACTCCGGGAAGGGAAATAGTCAGACGCAGCCAAGGCAAACGGACAAAGGAAAAAGTCAGGGTTTTGCCGGCAAGATTTATCGTCCCTTCGTTATATGTATATATATTGTACACGCGAGCGCAAAGTATTAGGCGAGGATCCACCACTGTATATGCAGCTGATGTTTTGTTTTTCTCCTATAAGTATACGTATGTCTCTGCGCCGCCATCAAGCGATTCTTATCTGTTAAATTGGAAAATTTTCAGAACTCTCCCTCTCTCTTTTCCGTGTATTTTCGCCGACGACTCCAGCTTGACTCGCGAACTCGATAATAACTCGCGCGCTCCCTGACTTATCGCTCAAAGTTCGCGTCATTGTTCCCGGGATAAATGGCTTCTTCCTTCACACATTGCTCCTTATGCGTGTATAGGTATATACATATACATACCCGATAAAATCCAAAAGGACCCTCGGAACATCAGCATCGAGTCCTCCCTTGACATGGGCTTGTTCGATCTTTACGGGGCGCGAGACAACGAGTTTACCTTTCCTCGCGAAGGAGGGAAGAAAAAAACTTGAACGCTCGTCTCCCTTGCGATTGCAAATGTTTTACGAGCTGGACCGGCGGACGTAAAAGCGGACAGAGCACCGTGTGTTTTATTCAACCCCCTCCGCGTTGCTTTTACACCAGGGGGTTGGGGGGGGGCAGGGGAGAAATATTAAAATGTACCGATGAAAAATGAGGACGTGGACGCGCCCAGAGCCCTGTCAATTTTGCATCGCCCACTGGGATTGGGGGATATTACAAGGTGCGGATGGGGCCTCCGCCGAGGAGGAACAAACAAGCCGTTCTCCGGGATCGCTCCCGCACGAGTGAATAAATCAGGGACGGGATACCTCCCGGATGATGCCACTTTTATTGTTATGCGCCCCTTTACTGCAGCCCCGTCCCTTTACGAGGCCCGCGCGACGCGAAGAAACCATCGTCGTACGGACTCTGCGTGGATAATTTATCATTTTTGGAATGTGTATGTATATATATATGTGTGTGTGTGTGTTTGCGTTGACAGTAAAACAAAAGGGTGGCGCTGCCAAAGTCGTCATTTTTCATTATTCGAACAGTCTTTTTTTTTTTTAATTTGAAAAAAAGGAAAAAAGAAAGGTGGTATTTTTACACTCTGAGCACGTGCGGCGCGTACGATAAATCCAAAGGCGAACCTATATTATTATACGGAGCTCCGTTACTCTTCCGAGTTCGCTACATTGAACTTTTCCACTTTTGATCAAGTGACGCGTACCCCCAAAATACCGAGCGACCTCGTTATCAGTGACCTGTAAGAAATAAATTTTCACGGTACGGTCTAGTATTGATTATATTGCCTTTATTTAAATCGTTGTCTTTTTTTTTTGTGTGTTTCAGGTGAGTACTCGTTTTCGCTCTCTCAATTAATCAACAGCTGCAGGATGTATGTATATAACTATATGTAACACGTGAGTGCCAATATATATTTTATTTCTCGAAACACGTCCCCGCGCCAAAAAAAAAAGATAATTACTACCAAAGCGCGAACCCCGTCTCGATCAATCATCCCTAACTCGACGTGTAATTAAAAAAAAAAAAAAAAAAGATCGAGGCAGAAGAGAAAGGATGACACCTGTAAGTCTCATCTTCGTAAGTAAGTAGACCAGGGCGGGGTATTAGTCAAAGCACGGACGGCCGACGGGTCTGAGAATTTATTGCTCTAGCACCCCCTGCCCGCGATGTCCTGTACCTCGCGGGATCCTTCTTGATGGGGATCCTTGTGAATGCGATGTCGAGGTTTTTTTTTCTTTTTCGTTGGAAATTCAATCGATCCAAACGTGAGTTTTTAAAATGGACACGATAAAAAGAGTATGAGGAAATGCACATAGTTACCTGCTGGACCAATCAACAGACGAGTTGTCTGATGTTGGTATAGAGTGCAGTGTGGATAAAGAAAAAAAAAAAAAAAAAAAAACAGGGTACCAACACAGAGAGAGTATCGGGGGACCGCGATCTTTCGGCATGGCAGGACTCTTTGAACGCGTTGCCTTTTTCCGACCGCGCTCTTTTTATTCTCCCGTTTGATTTACCCCCCCCCCCTTTCTTTTTATCAACATTCGCGCGTATCTAACTGTCCTTTCATAGTCTCTCGGTCTCAATCCATTATTCATTTTTTTTTTTTTTTTCCCTCGTTTCTTTATGCCACGGGGCACTTTTTGTCCATTTTTTTTGCTTCGTGCGCCTGTTTTTCCGCTGATTGCCACCCACGTACACACATCTCACGGGTCCATCGATATTCCAACCCCCAGGAAAATTAACTGTTTCGACTGGTTTGTCCATCGCTTCGTACTGCACAAAGAGATACCGTATGCGCTACTAGTCATTATATATTATACACGGTATACTTGTCTCGTATCATACGACTGCTGGGACTCCAGTGGGGTATCATTTTTTATACATAGTGCATTATTCCGGTGTACGCGCAACTGAGGGTCAAATTATGGTGTGTACCTGCAATGTAGCACTTGGTAAAAACTGCGGCAATAAGTTGTGATGGAAATGTACACCTCTCTGCCACGAGAGAATGAGGGGTAATTTTTCCTACAACGCTTTTCTCACACTGCAAGGGAAAAAAAAAAAAAAAAAAAAAAAAAATAGAGGGAGACGGAGGAAACTACCAAAAGTCGTAGTCGTCGCTCGGGCGTCAGGTTGGTGGTTCGCGTCCCACGGGGTTTGGATTCAACTCGTTTCCCGTCCGCAGATAGCGCCAGTATTAATAGTCGTGGAAAAGTCGCCCTCGTCGCTCTCTTGGGGACGGGGCGTAGGAAAACAACGGGAATTGGCGCCGAGTGCCGCCGGTGCACGTTGTAAAGCCGCAACGTGGGAGTCAGGGAAGTAATGAAGACGGCGATGAATGAAAATTTCATTCGCGTGCGCGGAAGTGAGAGGTCGGGGGGGGGATCCACCACTGTATATGCAGCTGATGTTTTGTTTTTCTCCTATAAGTATACGTATGTCTCTGCGCCGCCATCAAGCGATTCTTATCTGTTAAATTGGAAAATTTTCAGAACTCTCCCTCTCTCTTTTCCGTGTATTTTCGCCGACGACTCCAGCTTGACTCGCGAACTCGATAATAACTCGCGCGCTCCCTGACTTATCGCTCAAAGTTCGCGTCATTGTTCCCGGGATAAATGGCTNAATCATAATCGTATACATATCCAATTCAGTATCGTATAATTCATAAATTGGTTGATACTACTGAATTTTTTTTGCACTTTTGATCCGATTTTTCATTCATGTAAAATCAAATAGGAAACAATGTAAATTATTATCGAAAAAAAATTTTTTTGTTTACTAAATCTTATAAATACATGTCATTCAAGAGTATAATTAAATAAATACTGTAAACACTTAGTAACTGGATTGTAAGGCACATCTTAATATCTACCTATTATTTATAAAAACGCTCGATTGAGCCATAAGAAATCAATCAGTAAAAATAGATTCTTTAAAAAACAATATAAAAATTATAACGTTGTAGCACTAGAAAGAAGGCGTTGGGAAAAAAATTCGTGCCTCTTTTTTTCAGTCTCTTTTTTCTTGGTAGGACCTGCAGAAAAGTATTGATAAATTTTAGTGTCTGTCGAGGAGCCATCCTCCTCTGGATCCTCCCACTCGACTTCAACTGCTTTACTCGAAAGAATTTTTTCCGCCGTTGACCAACTGAACCTTACAAGTTGTGGAAAACCAAATATCTCGTCGACATTGTCGGCAAGCCATGTCTTAGTAAGTGGATCATTGGGGTAGCCACTGCCATATGATGACTCGTTGTCTGTATCCTTGAATTGCCAAGCTCTTAGCGCATGATCCCTGGACACTTTAGCACAAATACTAGCAGCACTAACAATTGGATATGTCGAATCAGCTTTCTTGGCGACTTTTATCTTGATACCAGGGAATATACCCTCTAACTTGGCCTGATACTTTTCTGCTGGGCCTACAGTATCCACATAAATTTCAGCAATGAAAACACCAGCCTCGATCGTCTTTCTTATGAGATTAATAGCAGAGTTCATGGATACTTCGTTTAGTGAGGTCTTAGTGCGTCTGTACATGCAATTGGCTATGTAATTTGGGGAAATGGCATCAATGGCCCAGCCCATTTTGTTGCGATTGTCACAAATCTTGTCGAAAATAGCATCCCTTTTTTCTTCAGTCAGTGATTTAGAATCGGCACAACCCATGTCAACCAGTAGCTGCTTTTCTGACAATGGTGCATAAGCAATACCATAAACCATGGGGCCGAGGACGGGACCACGGCCAGCCTCATCTACTCCGAGCTGGCAGGGCTCATCCTTACAGATTTGTGGAACCTAAATGTTACACCACATTAGTTTACTACTTAATTTTTACTGATTATGAAAGCGTAAACTTTTTGGTGCAAAGTGACAAATGCTGAGTTGAAATTGAGTATAAGAAAAAAAAAATTTATGTAGTGAAGGTTATGTACAACCACACTCTCTACTTCAGTTAAAACATTGCATCTAGTTAGAAATAAGTACGACTTTAAAATAATAAAGTACACTGATCCAATAGACTCACTTACCTCAGATTGATGCAGTTGATTGACACTATGATCTCGTTTTTCAAAGTACACTGTCAGATCGTCTCTCTTTTCAATTGTTGGCTGTTCTGTTTCGTTATCCGAAGTTTCCATTTTTTCGTTGCTTTGATCTTGATTTTCTTTATTTTCAGAAGCCATTGTTTGGCAAAATTTATTCCTTCCTAATACGTTTCAGAAGATATCCAGCCAATTGATGATTTTACAGTAACCGTAATGTTTACGAACCACTACCTGCACATCTGCTCACTAGCAGACGATACTGATAAACTTCCCGCCAATTCACTACTGCAGTCGTGGTAGAGACGGCGGCAATTTATGAATACTCATTACATATTATGTGATGGACAAATTAGTTAAAAATGTTGGAATGTTTTATAATAAATATTTCTCATTCAATAGTATATATGTTTTCATATTTAGTTTAAAATAAAAAATAAAAAAATAACAAAGGCTCAAGTCCAATACAAATTGATGAATCAATGGTTACCTGCAGTCGGTACATTGTCTGAATATTGCAAGCTCACGCGCGAAATTCAAATTGTACTGAATAAGTTTTCGTTATTGAAGTAAGTTTGCTCGGGCACGGTGCAACAATAAATCAAGATATTACGCGTTGCCCTTATCATTGACATTGTTTTTAGCCTGCGAGCACGAGAATTCTAGAATACTCTATTGTCAAATTGGCGGTACCTGTGCATATTTTTTTTTTCCAAAACATTCGAAAAGCATTTAAAAAAATGAATAATCTATAAATCGCGCAGAAAGTCTTTCGAGAAAATAATTTTAGCGATACGTGCACTGTTCATTTGAATAAAAAAAATGAAATTAGACCATAGTATTTGATTACAGACGAGCCTTATGACCTAGTGTGTTGTTTACACTGGATTTTAAAAAATACGCTTTAGCAAGGGATTACACTTATTGCCCTGACAAAAACATGAAGCACTTTCGTATCCAGTCGTGCCAAAAAAAAAAAAAAAAAAAACGCGGGGTTTGGTGGACTTTAATCAATTTCAATGTTCGCTTGCGGTTCGTGTTTCACAAAGGATAAGACGAAGAAATACCTGTAGGTCATGTACTTTTATTTTCCATTTCAGCAAAAGTCCACGAGGCGCGAGCGCGATAAAGAGAAGTGTACAAGAGAAAAAGAGGGGGGAGGGGGGTTGAAAAAAAAAAACGGATGGACGGAGCGTGTAATAGAGCGAGAGTGCGAAGGAGCGCGTGCTCGTGAAAGGATAAAAGACGGAGGCAGCAGCCGTTCCGAGAAACGCAATACACCCGATGGATAACCTGCCTGCACACACGTATTATATATCTCGGGGGTGGAGGATTGGGTGTGCGTAGGACGTCTCTCGAGCCGTTTGCCAATACCAGTGCCCTCTCGAATCATTTCGCTTCAACTTTTTTTTTTTTTTTTTTTTCCCATGCCCTCTTATGTACGGACCAACGAAAATGAACGAGCACATCAATGCTTGCTTCTTATCCTCGGTAAACAAAATTGTAGCTGATTACCGTGTGTATGAACAAGCGTGATTTTCCAAAGAGATGATGGAAAGGTGTACCTAACACAAGCGTCGACTCCGTATCTCCCATACAACGCACGAAAACCACTTTCAACCTTGTCGGCGACGATTCGTCTCTTTGACCCCCCCCCTCCGCCTCCTTCGCTTTTCTGCTGCCGGTTCAACTTTATATCTGTCAATTTTCCGTCGTCAACATGAAAAAAAAAAAAAAAAAAAAGAGAGAGAGATAGCGCCCGCGGGGAAAAAAAGGTCCTCTCGCGAAGAAAGATGAAACTGAGAAATACGTACGTACGGCGGAAAACAAAAGAAAGTAAGGGACGAAACGAGATGAAAAACGCGTATAAAACACAGAAGAGGAGACACGTAAAAGGCGACTGTCAGAGCCAGAGGTTATGCGGAAAATTGAGACGACGACGACGACGACAGATAAAATTAAGCGAAGAAAGCGAGGGCCCCTGCTGCGAAAAACGAGCGACGTGTGCGCTCTGCGGGGGGCAATTGAAACAAATAGAATTTGCCGTTCGGGCGCTGCTGACGTCTCTCTCTCTCCCCCTGGAAGAAGCGGAATCTTCTTCTTTGCCTCCGTGTTTCAGTTCTTTACCTTTTTTCTTCCCTCCCCCCCAACCGAAATGGACCCTTGTTATTTCCCTTCTGCTACCCCCTCGGCGCGTGACGTTTTTCTCAGAATACGTATAGATATTCCGAAAAGTAAGATTTGTTACAAATATACCCTTTATCCTCATGCAGAATTTCGATCAACCACATCCATTCACAAACTGCTGGCACCGAGATCCTCCCGAATTCCTCCTGCATCATCAGTATATATTAAATCCCCCCCCCCCCCACGTTAATTCCCCAAAATATCACTCGGTGCTCCTGCGTGGCAAATTGACTGCACGCGAAAGTACACGACTCCTCTCCTCTTCCTCCGTCAAATCGAACTCTTAGTCCCCTCTTGCGCATTTGTCGGTCTCGAAAAGTATGTACTTAACGCCCGGAAGAAAAAAGGATGCGGTGATTGCAGGCGGGAGCCTCTTCCCTCTATATAGCCGATCGAAAGCCTGGGGTTTGCAATGAAACAGCGATCAAGCCTTGATCTAATTCCAAGTCGCCAACAAAAGGGGGGGGGGGGTGACCGCGAGCGATCGTCAACGGAAATTCCGGTTAACTCCTCCCGGGGAACGAAGTTTCGCGCTCCTACAAGGGCTTGGCCCCCCTCCTCCCCCTAATTACGCTGATTAACCTCGATCGTGCGGATGGCTCGGGAAAGTTTTCCGATAGGTGACATCGGCGAGGACTCGAGAGCCGCACCTCCTCCTCCGAAAACTCATCTCTGCAGACTTGCCGAGGGCAGTTTGCTGCCGGGAGGCACCGTGTACGCGAGCAGAGCCCAAGTTTCCCCTCGGTGCTGACGCAGTGTGCCCCACTACTATAGCCCTCCCCCCTCTCTAGTGTGACTTTTGATTATCGGGAGCGAGCCGTTACGAACTACTTCATGTATTAGCTTAATTAAAGGTGTTTGTTTGCACGAGAGAGAGAGAAGAGCTGAATTTTCCATGGCTCGTCTAGTGTGCTCTGTTTATTGTCGAGCTTTACGTTTTCCGCGTAGGTATGTGCAGGGACAGATTATTTTTTCGAAGACTGTATTTATCTCCCTGCACATTGTATATCGAGCGCTGGCATTGAAAGAAATCATGAAAATAAGTGTATACAGGAGTATAGTCGCATTACGATTAATAACAAGGTATACATACATATGCGCTCAAGCGATGAAGGGACCGATGAATGTGTATGTACAGTGGAAAAAAGTTGCCGCGTTCCCCGGCCACTCGAGCCTCACGCGCTTTTCCCGTCATCGTATTTTTGTCATGCTAATGGGGAGCTTTTGTGCGGACAATTCTTCTCTCTCGAAGCGAACGAGGGCGATGAGGACCATAGCTTTTCGAATTTCTTTTTATCCTTCTTCGAAAGTTCTCCACTCGAGTACGCGTGTCTTTTGCGTTATTTTTAAGAAAAAAATAGATGCTCCACGGATATGTTATAGGTAATGCATTTTCCAAATTTAACCGAACGCTCGAAAGATAAAGAGCGAGCTTTACACAAATCACAAAACGAAATCCTGTACCGCTGCTGTTACCGACTCACACATGCACGCAAATTCTCGTTAAATTCGTTATGTGTAGTAACCAATGCGGCTTACATTAGCTTCCAACCGCGTCGTACCTCCTCCTGCACACATATGTACACGACGTATTGCGCGAGTATAACGAGATTCTGGTAACTACATGTGTACGTAGCGTGGCCGTATATGGGTGAAGGCTTCGGGCCATGCGGATTAGGAGAAGGAGGAGTTAGAGAGAGAGCCAAGACTCGTTGGGGGGGTGGCCGAGCTAATCAGCGCAATAATGGGATTATTGTTATACGAAGCTGATGACGGGGAAAAGTAATGGGAAATATTGCGAAGATGCTAGGAGATACTTGAAAGATGTATATATTATCTTCCACTCATTTGCTGACCCGTAGCCTATATATATGTAATACCCTACCCGCATGTACAGATGAAGGAAGGTGTATTGATTAGTAGATGGATGTACCTTCACTGTATCAAGGAGGAGTACGGGTGATGCATCGGCTGGGCATCGAAATGTATACCAGTACCCGAAATGGACATTGGAATCGAGAGCAGCCAACCAGCATCGGGGTGGCTCTAAAACGAACGCCAAAACTGTAAAACTCGCTCGTCGCTCCATAGCTAAATGCAACTTCGGATGTGCGTATTTATAGTGAAACCGGTTTTCCAACTATACAGGCGCACCACTCGGGCAGTTCTGACACTTTGTGTATACGTAACGCTCGCTACTCTTTTGTTTACATATATAATTATATATGTACCCTCCCGAGTTTTAATTTGCGTAAAGTGCGCACTTTGTATGTACAAGGGACCTCTCGATTTTCCTTTCAATTAATTGCATCTTTGTCGTTAATTAAAATCCACCCCCCCGAACGTCGATGAAGAGGGGCGCACACTCCTGGTGGCTTTATCAAACTTCTGCGCTCGCCAATAAACTTCTCTCTCTCTCTCTCTCTCTCTCTCTCTCTGTTTTTTCCACTGGTAGGTATACACTCCCGATTTAAGGCAAAGCGAGGCCGAGTAACGCGAAAAACAACACACCGGTGAGCTAATCTTTCAACTCCACTGCGCGAACTGACACTTTTTTCCCCACCTCTCTTCCGTATAAAAGTATACGCGTTGAGAGCTTTAGCCTGTACCTGTAGGGAAGAAAAAAAAAGTGGAGAGGGGGGAGAGGGGTCTCTTAGATTGAAAGTTGGAATCATCAGCGAGGGGTGTAAAACGCTGAGTTGATCGTACGCACCAAGAGGGCATCGACTCCTCGGGAAAACGCGCCGTACACCCCCCTCCCCCCTATATATATATATATATATATATATATATATACACGTATTATTCCAACGTCTTTGTTTTAATCACCGTACTAAAAGTTACGGGCGCGCGTACTTAAGGACGCGTTTCTGCGATCGTTCGTAATCTCAAGCGGACCGAGTCGATCCCTCGAAAACTGTTAGCGTCGCAACGGCGTCATAAACGTGTACACGTTAACGGACCGTCCCTATATATATATTGTACAACGACGTAAAAGTACAGGGAGAAATAGGCGAGGGGGGGGGTGAAAAAGTTGCCGTGTAATGTGTACTCGCGTGGCTTAAATTACGCGCTATTACCTC